ACGCAAGCGGAGGCCTCTCTCGATAGGCACCTCGAGAACCAAGATGCCGAGGCACGCAAGCGGGCGCGGCGTGAGTGGGCGTCGGAGGCGGCGAGCGGGCTGCGGCAGCGGAGTCTCGAAGAGGGGCGGTGCGCTCTGGCGAGCGGCTCTTCCCTCGGGTTCTGCTGCATCTGCATGGAGGAGGGCAGCGTGGAGGAGCCGCTCACTGTGCTCCCATGCGGCCACGAGTTCCATGCTGGCTGCATAGAGCAATGGCTTGTCTTCCGCGGCAAGGCGGCGGGGTGCCCCCTCTGCAAAGCGCCCCTCTTTCCCAAGGAGTCCAAAGAGGCGGCCGCTAGCGCGGCGGGGGCGACCGCGGCGCCGGCGGCGTCGTCGGGCGGCGCTGTGGTTTTGGTGTGAGTTGGGAACGCCTCTTCAGAGGGCTATGCAGTGCGCGCGCCCCGTCCATGCTGGGATAGATATGGTGAATCGTATCGTGTTGTTAGTATCTCCGACACCCGAGAGCATGAGAGAGTGCATGACTCCGGTTCGTGGCTGTACTGTGTTGCTGTACGTGTTGTCGTGCGAGCTTCGTGAAACCTCTGAGTTAGGTCAGGGACCTAGACTTTTATCTTTTTTCTGGCTTATGCGGCTTTTGAACATGCCCCTTGGCCGTATCTCTGCGCGAGTGGCGACTGGGGCGCGGGCCCCAGTGCCCAGACACTCTCGGCATCGTCGGCGTGGGCTCTGTGGGGCGCCTGCTCCCGGGCGCCCCGTGCAATCCTCTCAGCGCGCTCGACGTCCTCGCTCGGCTCAAATCCACTCGTCGCAACCGCCCCAGTCGCAGCCATACCAAGCATTCTTGTACTCGCCGTTTTCGAAATCCTCAAAGTCACACTGCGGCTTTTGCTGAGTTGTCGTGTCCCCGTTTGGGTCGGTGTAGAAGACATCAGTGGTCGAGTAGTGGCAGCCACGGAAGGCTTCGGAGTCGTCTATCGATATAGCACTGTCCTTTAGCCCCGCCGCTGTCGGATTCCCGAGGTTACCAGCCGCCTCATTCCAGTATCCCCTAGTGGTCTCAGCGTCTTCCTCCGAATTCACGCAGCTGCCGTCGTAGGTGCCTTCGTGGTCGCACGGTGCGCGCGCGTGTGTGTGTGTGTGTGTGTGTGTGTGTGTGTGTGTGTGTGTGTGTGTGTGTGTGTGTGTGTGTGTGTGTGTGTGTGTGTGTGTGTGTGTGTGTGTGTGTGTGTGTGTGTGTTCCCCGGTTCCGTGAGTTTCTTCTCTTTGCCGCTTCCGGGCATTCTCGCCCTGCGCGACTCCAAGAAGGTCCGGACGGCGCAGCAGCTCTCACAGGTGCTGATCCGTTTCTGCATGAATACCACGCTCACCTTCTTCCTCCGCACAATGCCTCCCAGCGTCACCCTGGCGGCGGCAAAGGAGCACGACAGGCTGATTGCAGACAGCCTGTACGAGCTTGTCGGCGGAGCGCGAGTTGGGCGCGAGGATGTCCAGTGGGTGCGGGCGCTCAAGCAGGCGCGTCTGCCAGTCAATATGGGCGGCATGGGCTTGACCAGCGCCGAGGACATTCGCGGCGCGGCGTGGGTTGGTACGTGGGCTCTCGTCACGCGGCCGATCCGCGAGCTACACAGGCCCTTCGCCGATCTCGACGTCTCGACCGCGCCCGGAGAGTGTTTCGACGAGCTGCGAGAGGCGCACACGCAGCTCGTCAGCAGACACGACCTCACCGACAAGTGCCAGCGGAGCTGGCGGACGCAGGTCGTGTGCCGGGAGGTGGTGAGCCCGGGCACTGCGATCAACGAGGCGAAGGCGGAGCCGAGGTTCCGCTTCAC